AAACGGGGGTCAGCCAGGGCGCCAGATCCTGCAGGGATCCTGCGAAGACCCCCTCTGGCTGACCCGGGCCAGGGAGCCGCTCGTGGCCGCGAGGCGGCCGCGCGTATTGGCTGGCCCGGGTTTGCGAAGACCTGCGTTGCAGCTTTTGTGTTCCTGCATTGCAGTTTTTGGTTTCCCGCTGATCTGGATTGACCCGGGCCAGAAGATCCCCGACTTCGAGGTTCGAGGTTTTCGGACGTTCTCGTGGGCTCTCGGCGGCTCTTCCAGCCCCAGGATGCCTTCCAGCGGCGGCGCCTCGCCGAAGGAAAGCTTTCCGGAGGTGCCCGGAGCGTCCCGAAGGGCCGCAGGAGAGCCGAGCTGTTACCCGAAGGCCAGGTGGCAACGGCACGGTCGGGCCGCGAGTCGGGAACTGTGGCGTAGCGTGTCGTTCCGCCAGTCCTAACTCACCACGCTTCGGCGCGACAGGCTGTCCACGCTCCCACTCCCCATGCGTCAAACTCCCGAGCCAGCATCGCCGGGCGCACCCACACGTCGGGAGGAGGCCTGGACGTGCAGCAGCACCGCGCTGTCGAGGTCGCACGCCTCTGCGACCGTCTGTCTATCTGCAGAGTATGCCACTGCACCGAAGGAGGAGGAGGAGGAGGAGGAGGAGGAGGAGGAGGAGGAGGGGGAGGAAGAGGGGGAGGAGGAGGAGGAGGAGGAGGAGGAGGAGGAGGAGGAGGAGGAGGAGGAGGAGGAGGAGGAGGAGGAGTCAGCACACAGAAGGTCATTCGCAGCTCGGCCTGGCAGGGCGGGGGTCCTGCCGACCCCCCCCCAAGGCTTCCTGAGGGCCCTCCGCGCTCCGCGCAGCGGCCGCCCGTGCATGCCCCGGGCCGCCTTGTGCTTTCTACCTGTGGGGGCGCGTGCCAAGCAACCAGTTGTATGTTGCCAGGGTGCCCTGGGTTTCTTGGACTTCGATGGGGCCCCCATAAGATCTGGATGATCTTCGATCGACAGATTTGGGTGTTCATTCAACAAATCGCAGATTTCAGGGTTGGGTCTCTTGCGGAGGTTTCTTGTGGCCGAGCCCCCACTGTACCTGTGCACCGCGCCCGGCCCCTCCAGAGGACTGGCACGTGCCGCCCGTCACCCAGGGCGACCACTTCAGGAAGAGGACGGCCGCCCTCGGCGCCAGGAGCCGAAGCACCAAAAACGGCATGCGCATCATGTCTCGGAGGTCCGCACGGACCTCTTGGGTCGGCGCTGGGCTCCCTTGGCGGCGCCTCCCGCGCCGCCTCTAGCGCGCGGAACACGCCAGGGAGGGGGGGTCCAGCGCCGATCTAAGACTATGCCACGTGCTTTGTTCCTCCAAGGAGGTACTACGACTAGGGCCGGCCAAGCCTCGCTGAGCGCGGCCCGGCCCGGTGGGTCCTCGTCCCAGAGACCGCTCGCGGCATGGAGAGCGTCGCGGCGAGAGCGGCCGCTCGTCCTGCACAAAAGCGCAGTCGTTGTCTTCGAGGGTGCAAGGCGCAGCATGCACAACGACGCACTGAGGAGGAGGTGGAGGAGGAGGAGGAGGAGGACAGGGCTTGGCCTGAAACCCCAAAGAGATGGTACAGCCTCGGGTGTGCTCCTGTGGGCCCACGCGAGCACACCCGAGATTGTACAATCTCTTTGACTCTCTGCAGGCCTGAACCCCAGGCGTGTACCTTCAAAGGTGCCGCGACTTTCACTGATTACAGTAATTACGAACCATCCTAGATTCTGCAGTGACGAGGAAGGGTAGCCCAGCTTGGCACTGGATATCTAGGCGCCAGCGTCATCAGGCGCGAGTGGTTTCATCGATTCATCAAGCATACACTCGATTGGACCTGTGGAAGTGCCAGACATGCTCGAGGAGCGTCGGGAATTGGCACGACAGATGCTTGTGTGGTCAGCACTACAGCAGCAGCAACGGCAAGGCCAGAAGCCAGAGCGCACCGCCTGGGAGAAGAACAAGCAGGACAGCAACCTGAAAGCGTACAATCCGAAAAGTTCCCGCCAATGCTTCATCGCGCTGCTGCGAGGAATTCAGCATACTGGGCACTCCCGGCAAAAGCGTTAGAGGTGCAGGTCTGCAGCAGCAGAGTGGAGAAGCAGATGACGAACATCGCCTCGGTCGCACCGTACGCGCACAAGGCTGGCAACGTGAAAGGTGCGGACAGGCACGGAATGGAGCTGATGCTGCTGAATTCATGTAATGCGTCGTTGGAGCCAGTTTAGAAGCAAGGGGACGGTATGCGAGATGGATAAGGCAAATGACACATCGACTGCCACACAGTCACGCATGAGGGACCCGAAGGATCAGGAGCACGAGATCGAGGTGGAAACCGCCCATTTGGAGACATGCTGGATTGAGTCGGCAGGGTGTCCAGAAGAGAGAGAAGACGAACCAATGGTGACATCATTGGTGGAAGATGGTCGTTCGTTTTTCACGGCGGGCAGCAACAACAGCCAGTTCCTGTACCACAACAGCCGCAAGCACAACAACAGCAACCACCAGTTCAAAGTGAGGCAGCAGTACCAGTGGAGACGATGAGGAGAGCTGGGCCTACATATTCAAATGTAGCCGCAGGCGCAGGCAGTGCAGCTGGCCATGCAGCTGCATCACCACAATGCAGACCTGAACGAATTGAACGGCGCCATGACGGTCCAAACCATGCAGCTTTTGACGGCCAGGAGCGACAGGCAGCAGCAGGAGGAGCGGATAATGACATGCTTGGCGGGTCGAAGTCAGAATCAGGGCGCGACTTCCATTGCAGGTCCATCTGGGCAAACATTACTTGGAGCGGGACTACCAGCGCAACAGGCCCCAGCAACCATGGCAGTGAGGACGCCGACGGGAGGGGCAGCAGTACCGGCACCAGGGACGCCAGTGATAAGAACAACGACGCCGTTGTCGAAACATCCAGGAGCTTCGCCAAGGTCATTTCAGCCAGCACAGGGCACCATGAGTTTGGATGGCACAGCTACTTACGCTAACGAGACAGCGCACACGCAGAACATGCCAGACATGGAGTTACCGCGAGAAAATCAGTTTCCGCCGACGGGGCCAGCGCCATCACCAATCACACCAACGGAACCATGGATAATTGGAGCCACCCAGGAAGAACCCTGCCTGCTCGGGAAGATGGCGCCGCGGGAGTTACTGATGGGACAGATCAAGAGCAAGATCAAGTTAGAGGAGAATCCGCTGAGCCAGGAGTGCCGCTTGAAAGGTCAGGCCCGCGCAGCGGCCGCAGCAGCGGCGGCATCATCGACGGCAGCATCCACAGCGACGACGTTGGCGGGGCGTTCTGCTGCGGGCGCGGTGATCAGCATCGGCACGCAGGAGGGGCGCACGACGTCGCCGCCGTCGAAAATTGAAAAGGAGGAGGCCGCAAGAGGCGCGTGATAATAGGTGAGCCAGGATCCGCGGTTAGATCATCACGCCTCTACGGACGGAAGGCTGGTGTCTCGCAGGGTGAATCAGTTTCCAGCGTCTGTTTTGGGGGGCAGATATGTTCTAACATGGCAAGCCATTGCGCCAGCGTTAGCGGGCCCAGATCACCAGAAGATAGCAGGTGCAATGATTCAAGGCACCCCGAGCAGCAACACGTTGGCATGCAAAAGGGCCAGCGCGACATCAGCGCGCGCGCAGCGGGGCAGACGTCGAGGATCGGGGGGGGGGCCCTTTCGGCGACCGCGTCTGAGACTGACGGGGCGAGCGAGACGTCCAGCGAGAGGGCTCGCGGGCAGTCCTTGAGAAGCTCCTGGCCAAGACCCTGCAATATGATAGTTGGGCTAGCGCTGCCAGCGTTTGTCTGGGCATAGTTCCAATGGAACATGCCAGTTCGACATCCCCGAGACTGGGGATCCTCTAGCAACTGGAACCCTGGAGAAGGACGCCGAAGTCGCGCTCGGGGCATGCCCGCGCAGCGACGCCGCCGGCCAGATCTCGGCCATCCACTTTCGCACCGATGGCTCGTCGCACCAGAGAGCGGGCGCGGCAGCATGGGCGTCGGCGGCGACCATGGAGAGGACGGGGGGGGCACATGCACGACGATGCAATTAGGGGTGAATTCAGAGCCATTAACTGGTGCCATGGGGCGCCAGCTTAACAAGTTAAGCCAGCTTGCCCACCCGCTTCGAACCGGCATGCTCGGGGCCTGGACGGGGCCGAAGGCACGGCCGAGAATGCCGCAGTTGCCGTCGACCTCCAGGCGGTCACGTTCAACGCGCAGTCGGCGCGCTGAGTTCTGCAACGGGGCGGGAAGGCCAGGCCCGGAGCCCAGCGCGCGGCGGAACTTCGCGCGCAGATGCATTCACGAGGGGCGCACTTGCTGGGGGCCCTGCGGCGTCGGGCCCACGGTTTGAAGAGAGAGCGCCCCGCATTCCCCCCTCTTCTGCTTTCTGCGCGCCGGCCGTTTCAGCGCGCCCAGCGCGGCTCTTCGCGGCCCCGCGGGGAGCCCCACTTCAGGCCCCAGCGGCAGTGATCACGCGCGCCCAGCGCCGCCCCGCACGGCGATTCGCGGGCCCACAGGGGGCCGCACGGAAGGCTTCAGTCGCTGTGACCACTGGCGCCCCGCGCCACCAAGCACGGCATTTCGCGGCCCAATAGGGAATTCCACCGAAGACCCCAGCGGACTTGACCACACGCGCCCCGCGCCACCCAGCAAAGCGTTTCGCTGCCCAACGACCACGTGCCCCCCGCGCCACCCAGCGCGGCGCTTCGCGGCCCCGCGGGGGGCTACACCGAAGGCCCCAGTGGACGTGACCACATGCGGCCCGCGCCACCCAGCACAGCATTTCGCGGCCCCATGAGGGGCCCACCGAATGCCCCAGCGCCCGTGCCCACGCGCGCCCCGCGCCACCCAGCGGAGCGCTTCGCGGCCCCATATGGGGGCTCCACCAGAGGCCCCAGCGGCCGCGGCCACGCGCGTCACGCGCCACCTAGCGCGCGTTTCGCGGTCCCACAGGGAGTGCCACCGAAGGCTTCAGCGGCCGTGACCACACGCGCCCCGCGCCACACAGCACGGCGCTTCGCCGCCACATGGCGAGCTTCACCGAAGGCCCCTGCGGCTGTGACCACATGCTTCCCGCGCCACCAACAAAGCGATTCGCGGCCCCATAGGTGGCCCCACCGAAGGCCCCAGCGATTGCGACCACACGCGCGCCGCGACACCCATCGTGGAGTTTCGCGGCCCCACAGGGGGCCCCACCGAAAGCCCCACTGGCCGTGGCTACATGCGCCCGCGCCACCCAGCACAACGCTTCGTGGCCCCATAGGGAGATCCACCGACGGCCCCAGTCGCCGCGGCCACATGCGCCCGCGCCACCCAGCACAGCGTGTCGCGGCCAGCTCGTAGGGAACTCAACCGAAGGCCTTCGCGGCGGCGCCCGCGTCGCCCCCCCCCCCCCCCCTCCCACATCGGCAGATTTCCGCGCGCCTCGCGGCCCCGCGAGGAGCCCCCCCTCCCCAGCCCCGCCAGCCTCGCTGATTCTAACATTGCGCGTGGCCGCGCCTTCCCCGGGATACCTTCGCGCGGGGGGGGGCACGGGGGCCGCGGGCGCGAATCTGAGGCAAGCGCCCCCGCGCCACGCGGCAGCGCGGCAGTAGTGCTAGGACAATACCTTAGTTTTTAACAAGGATCGCACCAGGACATCCGCATATCCATGAACCCTCGCTTGCAATCTAGATGCGCTACGTTTTTCTTGGCGTCGCTCCATTTACCCCGCGCGTTTCCCGCGTGGTCAACGCTGCAGAAGACAAGGGAACTCTCTGGAGCGACCTTGCAGCGCGCGAGCAGCGGGGGCCGCGGGGCCGCGCGGGCCCTGCTTTCCCGAGAATTCGCTCTGGCCCATTCGCGCCAGGAGAAGCATTCAGCGAACTGCGCAGCGCGCTCGGTGGCGAGGAGTCTGCGAACGACGCACAGGTGCCAGGGTGGGGCTGCGCGGGACGAGTTCGGGGGGAGACTGGGCCACTGCCGGGCGCGGCTCGTCGAGATGGCGCCAGGGGCGCCGCAGACTCAGATTGGGCCTGTGGAATGACCTCGGAGGATCTGTCGCCGCGCGCCCTCGGCCACGATGACGCGAGGTACCTGGGGGGGCAGGCCGCGAAGATAGATGCGGCGGGGGGTGGCCGCGCGTCGCAGGCTGGATGAAAGTCGGCAAGACAGCTCCTCATGCGTGGCGGGAAAGACATAGGCTGGCGCCGTCGCCCCCCTTCAGGGCGCCACCAGAGGCCGCCCCCGTCGCCGCGCCCAGCGAAGACGCTGACGACCCGCAGATACACGTCGGGGGGATCGAGAAGGCCGCTCAAGCAAGCAGGCGGGGCATTGCGGAGCGGCGCCACGAGAGGGGTCTGCGCC